GAAACAAGGTAGATGTACTGGGATGATGTAACATTTAAAATATGTACTTGCTCTGTGTTGTTAATATCTGAGACAGGCAGCAGTTGAAACCTTGATGCTCTTATGAACTGCATGAAGTTGTTCTGCTTCTCTGAAGCTTGCTGCAGGATTTAGATAGTTCTTGTGTTGCAACGGCAGTTTACACAATAAAGCACAAGATTAAAAGAAAGAGCGTGACTTGCATAATTTAGACACAATCTAATGTGCCATAAATGGGTGTTATAGTAAAAGAAAAAAGAAAATTATTTTCTTTATGGATTTAAAACTGCCCCTACTGTGTTTACAAACAGGCTCATTACATCAGTTTTCTGATTGAGATCCAGAAAGTAAATTTGCTGGGTTTATTTCCTCTAAGTGGAGGCCAATGCAAAATGAAACCCTGTGGTGAAAAGGGCATAGCACAAAACATCTCGGTCTGAATCATATGAAGGCATTAGCAGCATAAGGGAATTTTTTGCTGCATTTAATTTGATGGGGTCCCTTTAAATAAATACCTCAGCTCTTTTTCTGTAACCGAACTGATAAAATCTTTGGCTTCTATTCAGTCATAAACATAATGGAAAGCAAAACTTGCCTCTAATGTGTTTTCCAACCTTGAGTAAAACTTGCATAAATATTCCTGGGCACGTGTTGATGATTTCCGCCCAAAAAAAAAAAAAAAAAAAAATATGTGGTAGTTTTTCTGCCTACTATTCCTAAAAGAAACCGCATGGCTGGAAATGCAGCTCTGAAAATCATAACACTGTACTCTGAATTTGTAACACAAAAGAGGCTGTTTCATTTTGCCCTTCAAATGTCCCCTTTCAAAATGTTTACATTCTACTCGCTCTGGAACAATGCAGGAGAACTCTTAGGTACATGACACTTACCCAGAGTGACAGGACAAATGGACCCAAAGAAAACAAAATTGAAAGTTACTCAGCTGAAATCCCATTACCAATGAGCATGATGAAAACTCATATCTCAAGGCCGTGAGGTAGGCTGAATGGTGAATTATGACGCAGATATACCTCTCCTTATCCAGATAAACATCCACTTTGCAAAGGAATAAAAGTCAGCCTGGCTCAGTCACTAAGTAAGACAGCTCATTAATGAAAATTAAACAACTCAAGTCTAAAGCCTGAAACAATTAATGTTCTTACAACTGTGAATCTAAGTCAAAAACATATAGGAATAGAAAAAGGTCAAATTTTAGTTCTAAAACCAATCCTTTTGGGTCACCAGTGAAACAGTCTCTTGGTTTTCTTCAGCAGGCCATGGATAAGGCCTGCAAAGACTAATTTCTAGCCAATTCCAGCTCATCATAATCACTACTGGGTTGGCCAAGAAATGACAACTTCCAGCCAAGTCATGCTCAGCACAGTTCCTAGGGCCAGGTTTTAAAGAAAGATCAGGCCTGGATTTTCAAGTACCCAGAACTGCAGTTGGATTTTCAAAAGGCCTCAGCACTCACCTGGCTGTGGTCTTCTGAAAATCTCTCCACGTACTTTGATGCCTGCCCATAGGCGAAGGGAGAAAATATTATTTGGGAGGGCTGAGCACAAGTGGCGGAAGGGAAGTGGGGGCTAATGGGGCTGAGCCCCCACAAACACAGGGCAGTGGTAGGGCTGCAAGGCAGCCCAGCCACAGGCTTCCAGTGGCTTCAGCAGAAGGGAGGAGCGCAGGCAGTGGTGAGGGAGGGATGGGCTGGGGCGGGGCAGGCCCTGCACAGCCAGGGCAGGGCGCAGGACTAAGCCATAAGGGGCTTATCTGCGGGGGCGAGGCTCCTGCAGCTACGCACATCCTGGGAGGCATGGGAGACATGTGCCCCTGGATTTGCATGTGGCAGGGTACCTCTGGGGGCTGGGGCAGTGCTGGACTCTTCCCAGCAGGAGAGAGGGGGCTGGGCCATGCTGTGCTCAGGGTAGGTGGCAGCAGCACTGGGAGGGGTAGTATGGGGGGGAGCGGGGGCCCCCCCCCAAATAATTTTTCTCCCTCCATCTATGGGGCTGAATACACACACACAAACACACCCCACCCCCCGCAGGTAAGTCTGCCGAGGGGGAAGAGGCGGGGGGAGAGGTAAGGGAAATGGGGGGTGGGGGCGCAGATTGAGGCCCCCACAATGGAGGGAATGAGGCAGAGGCAGGGGTGAATGGGGCCCTGGGGCAGGTCATGGGACGGTCAGAGCCCAGGCAGCTTGTCCAGGGGTACAGGGGGACTCCTGTCACTGCATGTAACCCGCCCCTGGATTTGTGTGGGGCGGAGGTGGGTTGCCACTGTGGACTGGGACTGTGCGCCCTGCCACCGCTGCTTTGGGATCCATGTGACACCACGTGCTTGCTGCTGCCAGCGGCAGCCCACCTCCACCCCGAACACAAATCAGGGGGCATGTACCCCCCATGCCTCCTCCAGGGTGCAGACAGTAGCGGGAGGCCCCCCATGCCCCTGGATTTGCTGTCCAGGCTCTGATCATCCCACAACCTGCCCTGGGGCCTCCTTTACCCCTGCCCCACACCATCTCTCACTGTGGGGGCCTCAATCTACACCCCCACCAACACACCTCTTCCCTATCACAGACTTGCCTGCTGTGGTGGGCAGTGCTCCACATGCTGCTGGGCTGCTATCCTGGCTGTGTGCAGGCTGCAGCTGTATGTCTGTGTCTGCATGTCCCCTGCTGCAGCTACCCGGAGCCCATGCACAGGCTGCCCTGCAGTCCTTTCCTGCCACCACTGCCCTGCATTTGGGGAGCTAAGCCCCGTTATCCCCATCTTTCCACCACCTATGTGCCTGCCTGACAGCAAAATTACCTCTGTCAGACTCCTACTGTCTCCCAGCCAAGACCATCTTATAGTAAGTCCTACCTGCTTGGCCAGGAACAAATAAATCCCAGCAGAGATGAGTTCAGCCACTATGTCCTTTTGTTGTTGGTAAAAAATAGGTATAATTTGCAGATTGATATCTCATGGCTCTCAATAACGATCTATTACTAGAGAAACATACTATTCCAGTGAGGTATTTCTTATGGAAAGAATCCCCTGCTAAATAGCAAATTCCTAGTCTCATGACAGAGAAATGGCTATGAGTGTCACAGGGGACCCTGAGTAATTTCCCCTGAGGCACGTTTGCAGGGCATCTGATACGTTCTGGGCACCCTGCCATCTCTTCTCACCATCTGCTGCTTTTCATGACACACAGGTGTAACCACAGAACTGCTGGTTACACACACAAAGTTTTAATTTAAAAAAAAAAAGGTTTCCAATCCAAAAGGTGAAAATAACTGTCTGCTTACAGACTGGCAGCATTTGTGGCCTCTAGGAATCCCTTCCTTATTGCCTCAGTCCAGCTTCCCAAAAAGCTGACTCCATCTTTAGCTTGGTATAATATGGGTGCATCTACACATTCATTAATGCACCTTTGCTACTGCACATTAAGTTTAGTACCTCTAATATGAGGTACTAGGTAAAGGTGCAGTAGCTGCACTAACATGCAGTAACAAAGATGACGGTTTTTTTGTGATGCTTAATGTGCAGTAGGCTAATTCTACTGCACCTTAGCTCATTAACAGTTTTTGCCACATCACGCTAATGCGCAGTAGAACGATCAACTGCACATTCATGCAGCTCGTGTAGACACGCCCTGTATTAGTGATTTCTCCTCAAGTCCCTGCTTTTGAGTATCACATTCATCCCTTTTAGGGGGACTTGTCCTCATGATCGTCCCCTAAAATACTGGGAGAATTTAGGTGTGTAAATACCAGATGTTTTCCCAAAAGATCCTGGACATTTTCTCCTGAGGGATGTGAAGGGAACAGAACAGTCCAGGTGCCCTTGCTGAGATGGTAGTGACAGCTGAGTTACCAAGGGCAGGAAGAGGAAGCAGCCACTGTGGTGGAGACAGCCTCATGGAAAAGGAAGGGCTAGGTTAACAAATATAGGTAAAGACATTTGAATGCACACCCTTCTATACCTGAGCCAGGAAATAAATTCAGCCCCTGTGAATGGCTGTACTGGGCAGCTGATTCCAGGAACCTTGGTTTTAATTATGAGCGCCACATCCTTTCCAGGTCCCTGTACAGTTTTGTTCTCTGAACACGGGGTGGGAGTGAGAGAGGCTGGAATTCTTCTGCCTCTGAGGTGACTGCTGGGTATTACTGCAATCTATCCTTTCAATTATGGACCAGCAACAGAGCCAGGAGTTGGCTCCCAGTTCTAGCTAGTGACACATGCTCTGTAACCTACAGTGTCAAACAGTCCGTGTGATCATAAGATGAGTTAGAGATCAAACTGCTAAGGGCTCAGGCTGGGATCCTAAAGTGGACAGGTGAAGGATGGTTATGTCATAGGCATTCTAATGTGTCCCTCACCAGAATAATCAGGCACTTAATTTTGTACTGCGTGGACAACTAGCATAGGATCAGCAAAGGAAATGTGGGTCAGAAACTAAGATTGAAAGCAAAAAGTAGAAGTTTAGGTCTACCAGATGTTTTGCAAATTGTCAAATAAGTGAATTCAGAAAAGCTGAGAAATGGAAACTAACCTCTAGAGTGTGAAAAGAGGAAGCCCTTTGGTCACAGCCGACTCTCAGTGATGCGCAGGGAGTGGACCTAAACCGTGGGTCTTTCCCGGGTTCAGTGCGTTCCCCACCCCCACATTTCTGTATTTAGCAAACTCTAGAAATGACATCAGCTCTCGGCTATCTGGAGTGCACCAGTTTGAAGTTTGGAAAGGCATCTGCAGACAGCTTCCTCCTCCTGTTGCAATCCTTTCTAGGAGAAGAGGAAAGCAACATGCTCCATACAAAGGAAACTAGCCAAAGGCTGAGCTTGCAACACCGCTAGTGACGTCACCCTGAATGAGGAAGGAACGGCAGAACAACGTGACAAACTGCCAACCGGGGCAAAGGGAAAAACCAAGCGTCACAGGAGATTCCATCAGGAAGAATTAAGTCATGATTTACTTTGCCAGAAACATTCCCTTCTCCATTGGCTGCTGACCTCAGAGCTGGGGCTCACCCTCCCGCACATTGTACGAACCCCTCTTGCCCTTCTATATCCCACAAAGACCCAGGGCCGTTCCCCTCTTCTTCCCTCACTTTACACAGTGCAGGGAATCTTTCCTACAGACAACCTAACTCACCCCCATGCAGTTGTAAGCATCTCTCACTCTGATTAGTGTGACTTGACACCATAAACCAAACTGGTGGGAAACCTTATTGAGGTTTTAACATTGCCCTCTACTCAGTGGTTCTGCAGTTTCTGAAGGGAATTGGCTTACAGCTGAACTCCACCCAAACAGGAAGAGAATAAGGCAAGAGAATGAAGGAATCCTGGGCAGCTACACGGTGAGACCAAAAGAGCAAAAGTTGTGACATGTCAGGAAAAAACCTGCTTCCACAAACTCCCAAGGCCCCAAAATCAAAGGGTGAATTGTGGCACAAAGCAGCCAGGACTGCTGGGTGTTAGCTAATGACCTGCTCTTGGTTTAGAGGAAATGGAGAGGTAGTGACAAGCCAAATAATTGTACTAGTTCGTTTGTTTTTTAACTGCACAGCGCCAACAGCGTTTTGGCAGCTTAACACACGCAAACAAACAAAATCACCCCCCTGCAGGAAGACAGATCAAAACCACCCTGGCATGAAAACCCTGGACCAGTTTCCTCACCAGGCCGGAATTTCCCATCTGGAACAAGTCACGTGCTGGGGCCTCCCGAGGAAAACCCAGCCTTTCTCTATGGCACCTCACAGGCGGAGCCCGCCCCCCCCCCGGGATCGCTCCCAAAGCTCGCCCCATTTCCAGGCAGGGCCGTGCTGAGGCCCCTCTCCTCCTGATCCCCCCCCACGTCCGACTCCCAGCTGAGCTCTCGGTTCTGCGCGCCCAGCCCCCCCCCGCCCGGTGCCCAGCGACGGCCAACAGCTGGAGCGTGGGAATGACCAGAGCATCTGTGGGGGGGCGGGGATCCAGCGGGGCCTCCTCTCAGCCCGGGC